ACATGGTCCTGTCTTCCTGCCTCTTCGCCGCTCCCCTTTTATTATTCAGTCTGCGCGGTCCGCGCCGAGGACTCAGTGCGCCTGCGCCGCGCCACGAGAACGTGAAGACCCCCCGCATGGCGGCAAGGGTTGCTGGGAGTTGTGGTCCTCGGTTCGGATGGAATTTTACCGTCGGCCGAGGGTTGCTGCCAAAGGAACGGACCACAATACCCAGGGATCCTTGCAGACGGTGTCCCGGATGCGGAGGGCCCGCGGCTGCTTTTGGGAATTGCAGTCCGGCCGTGTTTCTCCCTAACGCGGTTCCAGTTTCGTAGGGGTACTTTTCCTTGAAACTGGAGCCCCTGCTATAGATGGGGCCCAGAGCTAGGGAGGCCCTGGTGACTTCTGTGAAACAGTTCCAAGTGTAATTTTACTGCCAACAGTGTAGTAATTACCTCGGCTCCAGGCTTGGTATACCTTGGGCTCGGTTCAGAGGCCGGCCCCTCGCAGAGCTTAAGAAGCTTGTGTCCTCCGTTTGTGCTGCAGGCGCCTGGGCTGCGCCAACATCATTCCTGCTGCAGATCTGGGGACTAGGCACGCAGGGAAGTCTGCCTGCTGGACGTCAGCTTGAGAAAGCTTTGCTAAAGGGGAGCTACCCGGCACGATACTCTACTCCCATGTCTTTGCTGGGGCCCCGAAACTCCACGATTTGGTTCTCTTCTCCACTCGACACCTGGCCTGACCAACTTGTTTCCAGTACATTAGGGGCCAAGGACGAATTTAATCTCCGTCTAGAATGGTCTCAGGTGCACCGGCAAGTTGCAGGAGTGTTGAGAAGCATTCGTGTCCAGAGGAAGGGCCTGGGTTTGAGTAGGAGGTGCCCTTTATAATCCACTCGAGTTTGCTGCTCTGAAGTCAGCTGTTATACTTGGGGAAATGTGTCTCCCCTCCCTGCTTCCCGCCAGTGGGGCTAAGTTTTTCACTTTGTAAAAGAAGCCAGTTTCCCCAGACCTAGCCATTTGATTCTGTGAGCTTTACAAAGTTCTTCATAGATATTTTAACCCTTTTGTTAACTAATGATCATCTCATTAAAGGAACACATTCGGAATAACCTTAGGAGTGAGGGAGTGTGGGGTGAATGGAATATTGTTTAAAAAAAATGACACCTACTTGCCCATTGTTGCTCAGTGGTTGAGCATTGACCTATGAATCAGGGAGTCAGGGGTTTGATTCCAGGTCAAGGCTCATGCCTGGGTTGCTGGCTCCATCTCCAGTGGGGGGGCTGCAGGAGGCAGCCAATCAGTGATTCTCATCACTGATGCTTCTATCTCTCTTCTCTCTGAAATCAATAAAAATACTAGTATATATTTTAAAAAGAATGACACTCATTTTTATCTAGTTTTCCGTAACCTCATATCAGAAGCTAACTTGTCAGCCTACAATGTTAAGAAACTGATATTTCTTTTTTAAAAAAATATATTTTATTGATTTTTTACAGAGAGAAAGGGAGAGGGAGAGTTAGAAACATCGATGAGAGAGAAACATCCATCAGCTGCCTCCTGCACACCCCCCACTGGGGATGTGCCCACAACCAAGGTACATGCCCTTGACCAGAATCGAACCCGGGACCCTTCAGTCCGCAGGCCGACGCTCTATCCACTGAGCCAAACCGGTTAGGGCTGATATTTATTTTTTTAAATTGACTGTTAGAGAGGATGAGAGAAGGAGAGAGAGAAACATCAATTTGTTTTTCCACTTATTTATGCATTCATTAGTTGCTGCTTCTATGTGCCCTGACCAGGGAACGAAGGTACAACCTTTGCATATGGGGAGGACGCTCTAACCAAGTGAGCTAACGGGCCAGGGCAAAACTGGTATTTCTTAAATAGGCCAAATAGTTAACCACTAGGGGCGTTAGAAGATGAAAAAATACAAAAAGACAAAAGTTGTAGTGTATTGTTTTAATCCTATTATTAAACCCCAATAATTGGTTTATGTTATCCCCAAAACACTCCAGTGTGATTTGAATGAAGAAATGTAGTTCAACCCTGGCCGAGTAGCTCACTTGGTTAGAGCATCGTCCCGATAGGCCAAGGTTATGGGTTAAATCCCCCAAGAGGGCACATACAAAAAAATCAACCAATGAATGCATAAATAAGTGGAACATCAAATTGAAGTTTCTCTCCCTTCCCCTCTCTAAAAATCAACCAATAAAAAATATTAAAAATATATAGTTCATAGTGTTAGATTTTAAATATATTTTTATTGCCGTAACCGGCTTGGCTCAGTGGATAGAGTGTCGGCCTGCGGACTGAAAGGTCCCAGGTTCGATTCCGGTCAAGGGCATGTACCTTGGTTGCGGGCACATCCCCAGTAGGAGGTGTGCAGGAGGCGGCTGATCGATGTTTCTCTCTCATCGATGTTTCTAACTCTCTATCCCTCTCCCTTCCTCTCTGTAAAAAATCAATAAAATATATATTTTAAAAAAATAATAATAAAAAAATAAATATATTTTTATTGATTTCAGAGAGGAAGGGAGAGACAGAAACATCAATGATGAGAGAGAACCACTGGGGACCGAGCCCACAACCTAGGCATGTGCCCTTGACTGGAATAGAACCCAGAACCCTTCAGTTCCCAGGCAGACACTCTATCCACTGAGGCAAACCGGCTAGGGCCACAGTGCTGAGTTTTAAATGAGTGTACATCAGGAGCTTCAAAATAAGTGTGTAGTAGTAGAATCCGAAGATATCCAAACTGCTTAATTTACAAAACAGGAACCCAAAATTCAGAGAGGTTAAGTAACTTGCACGGAGTTACTCAGCAAGTCTGTGATAGAACAGGAACTAGAACAGTTGCCTACATAACATTTTGCATTGTTTTGATTGCAGTTCTTCATTTCCTTTGTAGCTTTTCCTCCCCTGAACCAATTTAGGAAAAAGACAATCTAATTTGTATGGCTGCCAAATAAGAGGAGCAAACTATTTCCACTAATTGTCCTTAAATAGATTAACGTAAATCCATTCCTGGTTTCTCCTGGAGCAGTTTTAGTTCCTCTCTAATAATTAGCAAGATTGAAAAAAAATTACTGTGTCTCCTCTAGGAGTCATGGGACAGACAGGGTTCTGGGTCTCCTATAAGAACATTGGAACACAAAGGGGGTGTTTCAAGGAGCCCATTCCTTCTCCAGGCCATTTGGGCAGTGAAAAAAAAAAAAAGATTGACGGGGAAATAAAAACAACAACACAAAAAAATACATTTAAAATCTAGCACTATGAACTATATATCTTAAATAATTTTATTGGTTGATTTTAGAGAGAGAGGAAGGGAGATAAACATCAATTTTTCTAGTTATACCCCAAAGTATTTGACATTTCCTTTAAGATCTTAGCAATGCCCTGTTTCTCCACCGTACAGTTCTGAGAACAGGGCAAGAGCCTCTTGGTCTCTCTCCTCAGCACAGCATGAATGAAACAGAAAGCTTCCTAAACTGAGCAGAAGGCAAAAATTAAAGTTAATTTGCCCTGGCTGGTCTGGCTCAGTGGATAGAGCGTCAGCCTGCAGACTCCAGGGTCCCAGGTTTGATTCCGGTCAAGGGCATGTACCTTGGTTGCGGGCACATCCCCAGTAGGGGGTGTGCAGGAGGCAGCTGATCGATGTTTCTAACTCTCTATCCCTCTCCCTTCCTCTCTGTAAAAAATCAATAAAATATTTTTTAAAAATTAAAGTTAATTTATCACATAAAAGCTTAAATACATGATAATTAAATACACGTTTTGAATATTACAATGGAAAGGGCTGAAATAATGAGAGGGGTTCGGTGCCAGAGAGTGGGCCGAAGTCATTTTTGCCATAGCTACTTTTCCAAATTGTGCATTTTTCCCCTCATTATTGATATACTGAGAGGGGACTTCTGGCGTCACAGTACATTTTTGAGGTATTTGTATTTATTTGTAATGATTCTCTGAGTTGAAATCTATATGTAACTGGTTTTGCTAAAATAAAAAGATTTTAATAATTTAAAATATTCGGTGAACCCAGAGTAAGGACTGTGGAGTATCATACCCATGGCTCTATTTGTCAATTTCTGAGCTTCGTTTGGCTGGTCTGAACCTTAAGCCTGCTTTGGTATTTTATATAGCTGAATCATTGGAGTACTGAATCCAAGACATTTATCTACACAAAGATAGGAATTAACATTTTTACACATTTGTCATGTTTCTTCAGAAGTAATTCCAGGATATACCATTAAACACAGAGGCATATATTAAATATAGTTGTCTATTCTTTACTCTTTATAGACATGCAAATGCTTTCAAAGGATTATTCCCATTTTGGCTATGTGTAGTAACTTCACTTAGTTGAATTACATAATCCAAAACTATGTTGCTTATAGGTTACATATTGAAATCACAAAGCATTTTGTGACAGACCTAAGAACACACAAAGTGGTACTCATAAAACCATTTATTGACATTTGTTTCTTTGTAGCTATCACCCCTCCCCACCCTACC